GGGTCGGGAGGTGAGTGTGCGCGGAGGACCAGGGTGGTGGTCAGTGTGAGGTCGGGAGATGAGTGTGCAGAGGACCAGGGTGGTGGTCAGTCCCCGGGGTCGGGGGTGAGTGTGCAGAGGACCAGGGTGGTGGTCAGTCCCCGGGGTCGGGGGTGAGTGCGTGGAGGATCAGGGTGGTGGTCAGCCCCTGGGCCCGGATGTGATTGGTCGCAGGATCAGGGTTGTGGTCAGTGCTAGGATGAGAGGGCCTGGACGTTGTGCTTAGGGCTTCACACCCCGCGCCACCTAGAGGGAGGGGCGGGGCCTGGGAGGGAGGCGGGGGCGGGGCCATTTAGAAAATGCACTGCCTTCCAGAAAGTACAGGTTTTTCTAAAGTTAATATAGAGTAAGTTTCGTTATCTGGACTGTCTTTTCATGGCTTTCCTAGTAAGAGATAGTGTTTTTATTTTATCACATTTCTTTCACATACATTAGCTCCTCTCTGATTTCTTTGCTTCCTCAGGGAGCTGCATCTGTTTGCAGACTTGCTTTTCATAAAAACAAGATTTGGGTGAAGAATCTCTTTGCCTTTTTCTGATGATTATGTAAATCCGTTAGCTATAGAAAGTGTACTGTGGACCATCTTTATCCCACTTTCGGGAGGAAAACAATTAGAAAGAGTTCTCTTAGGAGATCTTTCTCTGTCAAATCATTTGAAGACTGTGAAGAAACAATATAACCAGCCCCAGCTGTTGTTGCAAATGATCATATACAGGCATGAGCCTGAGATGACACACACCCTGGATAAAATGAGCTCCATTACATCTTGGAGATGGTAATACAGATTCTCCTAACAAATACTCACTTCCCTAAAGATCAGAACGCTTTTGTAGCACAGATCATGCATATTAACAGGGATAAAGAGTTGACACTGAGTGTTGGAAAAGAGTGCTAAATACCCAGCAAAATAACATGAGTCAAGATTCTTTACGAGATTCCAGAATCATCCATACTGGATAGCTACTAGGATCAAGAAGAGAGGAAAGATTCATCTTATTAGCTAAAAGCTTTCTTGACATTTTTTCCCCTCATGTAAATAGGCTTGTTTTTCCTTTTCTAAATACTGTGATGACTTAAGCCCCTTAACTGTCGTTCATTACAGACTGCATTACAGAAATGAATTTATTGATCCATCAGTAACACCTTTGTTGTCAAATCTTTGAAATAGCCGTTTTCCTCTCTTACCTTTGTCAATTAATTTAAGCTCTTTTTTTTATTTAAGCTCTTAAGCTTCCCTTTCTCACTTTATTTGCTTCCTGTTATTTTTAAGTATACTTGCTATTTTTTTT